ACTATAAATATTTATACACTGAACAACAAGGATCAAAAATATTGAAGCAGGTGTTGACATTATTAAAGGGAGAAGTGGACAATTTTGTAGTAGTAGTGGGAGACTTCAACACCCCATTTGAAATAACGGATTGAACATAGAAACACAAAACCAACAAGGAAACAAAGAGCCTGGTTAACACTTAAACTAGACCTAAAAGACATACAGGACACTACACCCAACAACAGCTGAATACTTATTTTTTTTCAGGTTCACATGGAACATTCTTCAGGATGTACCAAATCTTAGGCTCTAAAACAGTATCAATAAATTTTAAAACACTGAAATCATATATACTATTTTCTCCAACCACAAGGAAATAAAATTGGAAATTAATGAGAGGAAAAACTGGAAAGTTCACAAATATGTAGAAATTAAACAGGACAGTATTAAATAACTAATGGGTAAAAGAAAAAAATCACAAGGGAAATTAAAAATACTTGGAAACAGGGGTGCCTGGGTGGTTCAGCAGGTTAAGCCAACAACTCTTGATTTGGTTTAGGTCGTGATCTCATGGTCCGTGAATTTGAGCCCTATATGGGGCTCTGCACTGACAAAATGGAGCCTGCCTACAATATTCTCTCTCTCTCTCTCTCTCTCTCTCTCTCTCTCACTGTCCTTCCCCTGATTGTGCAAGTACTCGCTCTCAAAATAAATAAACATTTTTAAAAAAAGTAAGTAACATTAAATAATATGGAATCAACCAGTGAGAAAATATTTTTCTCATGTTTGTACCCTATCCTTTTGGTTAAATCAAGGAAAAAGTATCAATACTCATGTCTGTAACATCTAATACTTCCTCTTTTTTCTTTTTCTTTTTTTTTAAACCTAGGCTTCTAGTTCAGAACCTTTGGCAAACAACAGTAGCTACTTACCTAAAAGTAAGTAAAATCCCTGCTTGGGATTTTGTCTCTCTCCTTTTGCCCCTCTTCACCACCCTCAGACAGAGACAAATGAAATAATAATAATTAAAAAAAAAAAAGCCACAACAGGGGCGCCTGGGTGGCTCAGTCGGTTAAGCGTCCGACTTAGGCTTAGGGCATGATCTCACGGTTCGTGGGTTCAAGCCCCGCATCGAGCTCTGTGCTGGCAGCTAGCTCAGAGCCTGGAGCCTGCTTCACGTTCTGTATCTCCCTCTCTCTCTGAACCTTCCCTGCTCATGCTGTCTCTCTCTCTCTCTCCCTCTCAGAAATAAATAAAAACATTAAAAAAAGAATTTAAAAAAACCACAACATACCAAACTTATTCAATACAGCAAAGGCAGGGCATGGATGGAAATTTAGAGCTGTAAATGCCTACATTAAAATAAGAAGCAATATTATAAGCAATTACCTAACTTTATACCTTAAGTAACTAGAAAGACATGAAAACTAAACCCAGCGCTAGCAGAAGGAAGAAGGTAATAAAGATTCAAGTGGAAATAAACAAAATAGAGAATAGAAATTATCAACAAAACCGGAAGTTGATTCTTTGAAAGATCAAAATAAATAAGTAAACTTAAAAATAAAAAAGATCAAACACAAAACAAGGATGCCTTCTCTCACCAATTTTATTCAACATTGTGCTGAAATTCTGGCCAGAGTAATTTTCCAAGGAAAAAAATAAGGGGCATCCAAATTAGAAAGGAAGATGTAAAACTGTATCTATTCACAGGCAACATAATCTTAGTAAAATCCAAAAACCTCCCCCTCCTGCCTCACACACAAACTATTAAAGTTAATAAATTCAGTAAGGTTGCAGGATACAAGGCCAACATAAAAAGTAAGTGATATTTCTACACAATATCAATGAACAATTCAAAAAGGATATTAAGCAAACAATCCCATTTATAATAGTATCCAAAGGAATAAAATACCAAGAAATAAATTAAACCAAGTAAGTACAATACTTCTACATTGAAAACTACAAAAACATTGTTGAAAAGAATTAAAGACCTAAGCAAAAGGAAAGGTAGTATGCAATCACTGATTGGAAAACTTGATTATTATTAACATGCAATATTCACCAAAGGTATCTACAGATTCAATGAAATTCCTATCAAAACCCAACTGCTTCTTTTGCAGAAATAGAAAAGATTATCTTTAAATGCACATAGAATTGCAAGAGACCCACAATAACCGAAACAATCTTGAAAAAGAACAAAGTTGGAGTGCTTACACTTTTTGATTTCAAAAATTACTACAAAACCATGGTTGTCAAAACAATGTGGTACCAGCATATGGGTAGACAGATAGATCAATAGAATAGAATGAAGAACCCAGAAATTAACCCATATACCTATGTTCAAGTGGTTTTTGACATGTGTGGCAAGACCATTCAATGAGGAAAGGACTGTTCTTTTAAGAAATCGTCCTGGGAAAATAGATAAGCACATGCAAAAGAATAAAATTGGACCCTTACCTTCCATTATATGCAAATAGCCAACAAACACATGAAAAATTCCTGACATTATTAATCAGGGAAATGCAAATCAAAACCACAATGAAACACCACTTTATACCCACTAGGATGGCTAGCATCAAAAAGTCAGATAATAACAAACGTTAGTAATGACGTGGTGAAATCAGAACACCCTCACACACTGCTGGTGGGATGGTAAAATGGTGTGGCCGCTTTGGAAAAAACTTGGCACTTCCTCAAATGGTTCAACATAGAATTACTATATGACCCAGCAATTCCATTGCCAGGAATCTATGCAAAAGAGTTGAAAGTGGTATATCCACACCAAAATGTGTACACTATTTACATAATTAGTCATAAAAGTCAAAAGGTACAAATAAGCCAAATGTACATCAAATGGTGAGTGGATAAGAAAAGATGGTCTGTACATACAACAGAATATTATTCATCCATAAAAAAGAATGAACTGATACATGCTAAACCATATGGGTGAACCTTGAAAATATTACATTAAGTGAAAGAAGGCAGTCATAAAAACTACATATTATATGATGATTCAATTTATATGAAGATATAAACAGAATAGGTAATTCTACAGAGACTGAAAGTAAACTAGTGGTTGCTTAGGGCTGGGGAGGTGGTGAACAGTGCGGTGATAGCTAAAGGGTACAGGGTTTCTCTTTGAAATGATAACAATGTTCTGAAATATATTGTGGTGATGGTTGCACATATCTGTGACTATACTAAAAGCCACAAAATTATATACTTTAAATGGTGAATTATATCTCAATAAAGATGTCCTTTTTAAAAAAAAAAAGCTGAAAATCTTAAAAGTAGTCAGAGGAAGGGGTGCCTGGGTGGCTTAGTCGGTTAAGCGTCCGACTTTCGCTTAGGTCATGATCTCGCGGTTCGTGGGTTCGAGCCCCACGTCGGGCTCTGTGCTGACTGCCAGCTCAGAGCCTGTAGCCTGTTTCAGTCTGTGACTCCCTCTCCCTCTGACCCTCCCCTGCTCACGCTATCTTTCTCTTTCTCTCCTAGAAATAAATAAAAATCTTTAAAAAAAAAAAAAAGTAGTCAGGAAAACACATGTGTCCTTTAAGTACTACAATCGTCAACTGACTTCTTTTTAAAAAAAAAAATTTTTTTTTAATGTTTTATTTATTTCTAGGAGAGAGAGAGAGAGAGAGACAGCATGAGCAGGGGAAGGTCAGAGAGAGAGGAAGTCACAGACTCTGAAACAGGCTCCAGGCTCTGAGCTGGCAGTCAGCACAGAGCCCCACGCGGGGCTCGAACCCACGAACGCGAGATCATGACCTAAGCAAAAGTCGGATGCGTAACCAACTAAGCCACCCAGGCGCCCCGTCAACTGACTTTTCAATAGAAACTATGAAAGCCAGAAAACAATGCAGTCCTGGAACACGTGTATAATTGAAAACTCTTCCTTAGCAAAAGGATTAAGGAGAAATACATCTACTCCGTATGCCTATAAGTGGAAGTACTTTTATAATTGTTTTTTACCATAAAAAGTGTTAAAATTCTCATAATTTAATCCTCTATTTTATCCTTATACTAACGTATTAAAGAGTCTCCCCACCCAAAGATTTAGTACATATAGCCTTATATTTTTTAAATGTTTATAATTTTACACTTTCATTTTTATGCAGTATTTCATACAGATTAAGGACATTTACTATAGAGCAGAGGTTGTCAAATGTTTTTTAGTAAAAGGCCAAATAATAAACAATTCAGGTTTTGCAGGCCATATGGCCTCTATCACAAATCAACTCCACTCTTGTAGACTAACAGCCACTATAGACAATAGTAAATAAATAAATGTTGCTATGTCCCAATAAAACTTTATTTATATACACTAAAATTAGAATGTCATATAATGTTCATGTATCATGAAATACTATTTTATATTAACCATTTTTAAAATGTTCTCTATGTTATGAAATTTTGACATTCTGGGGTGGAGGTCACTGCTGGCTGGGGAAACTGCCCCTCTCTGAGCTAGTTAATTCCTATTGTGATAAACAACTTATCTGACAGTACTCCTCCCATATGCAAACCAGCCAATCCCAAGTCTATAGCCCCAACCACCTCCTTTAGCTAAAAGTCACACACCAACCTAATATTCCCCTGCCCCAAATCAAATCCAGGTAAAGACAATTAAGGACAATCCCTATACCCCCAAGCCCACCAGAATTATTCAAACTAGCCAATGCTAAATGGTTTATTCTGCTCTGCCTTTCCTTTTTCATGTAAATACCAATAAAGGCTATGGTCTAGAGTGCACTTGTTGTGATGAGCACTGGGTGATGTATGGAAATATTGAATCACTATACTGCACCCTTGAAACTAAGGTAACACTGTATGTTAACTATATTAGAATTTTTAAATGTCCCTCATATCTTTAAAAAAAAATAAGGCTATGATTTATGCCTTTACTCCTGCCTCCTGACTGATACTGGTGCTTCTTCCTGTGGTCCTATGTGACATTGTAATTCACAAGAAAAACATATTTGGTCGTTCAGATAACCAAAATATATTTCTCATACGTATTGGGTCATTGTCCATGGTTCCTGGCTCACAGCTTCCAAAACCCTTGAAATTTTCTGAGTGATAAGAACAATGGGAGCATCTTACGTCATCCTATTTGGTCTCTTGCCCTTAGTTTCTGAAATTGTTTTAGAACCAGTAAGTTGAGATGGGTTTCCTCTTATTAATAGCCCTTTTCCACAACTGGGTTACGCGGTTACAATGTTACTGAGGTGACTTGCGGAAAGCACCTAAAGAAGGAGGCTGATGGCCAGGGCAACCAACCAAGAGTACAGCGGTGGAACTTTCAGTCTGGCCTCCTGATGTTCAGGAATGAGACAGAGGCTAGAGGTTGAATCAATCAATAACCAACAGCCAGTGACTTAGACAATCATGCCTATGTAATGAAGCCTCCATAAAACCCGAAATGACAGGGTCTGAAGAGCTTCCAGGTTGGTGAACATGTGGAGGGAGATATGGGGAGAGTGCCTGTTTAGAGAGAGCATGGAGCCCCCCCACCCTTTCCCATACCTTGCCCTACATATGTCTTCCATTTAGCTGTTCCTGAGTCATATGCTTTTGTCACAAATCAGTAATCTAGTAAGTCATGTGTTTCTTTGAGTTCTATGGGCTGTTCTAGCAAATTAATTGAACCTAGGGAGGGGTGGTCGGAACCTCTGAATTAGAGCCAAGCAGTCAGAAGTATAACTAACAATCTGGGCTTGTGACTAGATCTGTAGTTTAAGGAGAAGGCCTGAGAACCTCCAATCTGTAGCAGAGAATAAGCTGGGCTTGTGACTAGGTTTTCAAGTAAGTTGGGAGCAGTCTTGTAGGACTGAACCCTTAACCGGTGGGTTCTCATGCTTTTTCCCAGCAGATGTGGCAGAACTGAGTTAAATTGTAGGACACCTGGCTCATGTCAGAGACTTGATTATTGTTGGTGGAGGGAACCCCTCAGTAGAGCTGGGACCCAGACTGCCTCCCATTTCTAGGGGAGCTTTGAGTACATTAAAATTTTCTCTCAATGACATTGACCCCTCTCTCTAGGTCATCACTCTCTCACTTTATATACGAACACCTAAACACATCTCTAGTTTTTTTTTCCAGTCATTTACAAATGTAAAAAACACTCTTTGTTCACAGTACAAAAACAGGCAGTTGGTTGATGTGGCCTGAGTGGCAGTTTACCAACCCATGGTCTACAGCCATTCTGCCTTGCTCTCCCACTAACTAGCTGTGTGTCTTCCAGTTAAGTGGGTTAATCTGAGTGTCTCAATTTCCCTTGAGGGTAAAATGAAGTTAATAATAGAATCGAGTTCACAGAGTTGTTATGGGAGTATTAAATTAGTTAATACACTTAAAGTACCTAGAACCATGCATAGTACACAATCTCAGTGACTTCGGACACCAACTAGCTGGAACAGGGCCACAATTCACAGTCCTCCGTTAAGACTGCCCTCATTTCAGTCAGCAGCTGTAAGCTCAGGAGTTCTCAGGCCACCCTCACCTCTGGCCAGTAGGCTAAAAATTCAGGGGTTCCCTTTTTGATACTATGGTAATTCACTTCAATGACTCACAGAACTCAGGAAAGTAGTATACTTATGATTACAGTTTTATTACAGCATTTGGATATGAATGAGAACTAGCCAAAGGGAGAGACTAATAGTGTAAGATCTGAAAGGGTTACAAAAGTGAAACTTTTGTGTGATCTGAGTCAGAGATGCATAAAATGTTGCCAACCAGGGAAGTTCACCAGATTTCATTACCTAGGCACGAATGACCCAATCATTGGCCTTCAGTCTGAACTCAATCTCCAACTCTGCCTTATGCCCCTGAGAGGTCCTCCAAATGATATCTTCCGGTTTAAAGCCCCAACTCGCTAATCATGTGGTCTTTGTGGAATGGCCAGCCCCCACCCTGAGTCATCTCTTCTTAGTGGCAACTCTCCAGGGACCCACCATGAGTCATCTGGGCAGGATGAATTATTAAGGCCCACTAGGGCCATTTCCATTAATGGGGAAAGTCCACAGATCTAGAGACTACATCTCAATAACAGAAAATCTTTCTTTCACCAGCCATATTCTTTACTTTAAGGGTTTAGAGCTTACTTGCCAGAAACTTGGAATGAAAGCCAGTCAAAATCTTTATGACACAATAGTAAACGTTGTATAGGTTTTTGTTGTAACTTTTAAGCCACATGGAAACTGGCACAACATGGAAGGTGATTATCCAAAATTATTTTTTCCAAATAACCTGTATCCCTAGAACTACTGATACCTATCAGGGCACTGACTAATGTCACCCTAGATCGACATGAAGCATCTTCATAACATCAAACTGCCCTGTGGAGGCAAACTATCTTGTAGGTTTTTTTCAAGTTTTTCTTTTTTATGTTACACAGAGTAGCTATTGGTCTTCAAGTTGGTGTAATCAAATTCAATTAGTGTGTTCTTAGAAAATATGCCAGTTGGTCACAGAATACTAATTTAAACCACGTTAGCTTTGATTTAAAGGCATTTTAGTGAAATCTCTGAGATGTAGCTCCCCTTTCGTCAAACCATTATACTCACAGGTCCATTCACGGAAGCAGAAAGGCTGACCACAAAAATATGAAAGTCTGCGGGCTCAAACTCAAATTCCAGAGTTAAGTCCTTAAACCTTTAGTGAAACTAAAGGCTCCCAGACCCAGACCTGGGAGAATTCTTGAAACGCTGTAGGTCTGGCTAGCTATCGCTAGGGTCCTGGCTCAGCGCGTCCGTGCGACCCTCCACGGGGGTCTCTTTAGAGGAGTGAGCTTGGAGACAGGCGGGGAGCGCAGGGCTGGAATCGGCTGCAAGGCGCCCCAACGCCCCTCGCGCGCCTTTCCTCTCGCTGCGCATGTGCAGCGTCGCCGCGAAGGCATTCTGGGAGATGTATTTTGCAGTCGAAGGGAACGGGTTCCTGAGAGCCCTCTTTTGCGCATGTGTGTCCTCCGGGGCCTCACAGCGCTGCCCCCGGGCGGGGTGAGTTCCGAGACTCCAGTTCCTTGCACCTGGTTGATGTTGGTCGGGGCTGGAGGTGCGCGGAGGAAGTGGGCGCGAACTTGGGGAAGTGGAGTGGGTTAAGAACAATAGGACTTTGGGGTAGGCGTGGACCGGGGTGTGTCTGAAGCTGCAGTGACCCTCCTCAGCGTGGGGTCCGTGACCCTGGGGCGGGCAGGGTCCGGGACTCCATTCATGCTGGTGTCGCGCTGCAGCTGTCGCTCCCAGAGCGCATCCTGAGGTGCCAGTGCGCGCAGGTGGCGGACACCAGGGTGAGAAGCGCCCTCCGGGGCGCGCAAAGAGAACCAAGCTTTACTGAAGGTTTGAAATGTTCCAGGTGGAGTACTGCCTTACTACGTGCTTTTCCAGAGGCTTCTACCTTTTAACCCTACAGCAGCCCTCTTAGTCAGCTTTTCAAACCATTGGCTGCAATGCAGTAGTTAATTTGGGTGGTGAAATCTGTTTAGTAAGCCAAGACTAGTATTTTTATTTGCCAGTACTTTTAGGGCGTATGTAATTAACGTAGAATGATTTGCACGTAATTCACAGGGAACAAAGTGTAAAATTTGTTGATGCACCCGTATTATTACCACCCCCATCAAAACACAGAACATTTTCATACTCTGGTTTCTCTTCAGATCGCGTAAGTCTTTCGCCTTTTACAAAATACAGAACATTTTAATCCCCCCAGAAAGTTCTCCTTTTTACGCAACCCCCACCCCCACCTGCTTAAGAAACAGTTTTTCAATTTCTATAGGCTAATTTTGCCCTTGTAGAACATCAAATAAGTGGAATCCTACAGTATGTACTCTTATATATGAGCATTAAAAAATACTGTAAAATAACATATGTGTTACTTTATAATAAGGATTGTTTTATGAAGTGTATTACATATAACTGTATGTTATATGTATTACAAATAACTGTTTTTTAGATGACTATTTATTGGACATCCATGAGCCACTGTTGCTAGTGCTAGTGTAGCAGGAGTCTTGTACAGAGAGTTGTGACACCGAGGGAGTTTTCCAGGAAGCAACTTTATTCCTGCTGGCACTGCTCAGTTGGGTTCATACCCAAAGAACTGAGCCCCAAATGCCACGTGGCATAGTTTTTAAATATATTTTTTACTTCTTTGTCTCCCATATATGGTAACACTCAAACACGCAGTCTGATTAAGTGGTCTCATGTTACAAGGTCATGAGGGATGTTGTCACATACCTACGCCAGGTTGCCCTGAGGTTTTTTTCCTTTCCTTAGGGAGGGAACCCTACCACACTAGGGATACAATACTGAATCAAGAAGATGAAAACCCCTGCCTTCATGAAATTTTAGTTTTAGTAAGTAGAGATAGTTAACAATAAGCATAATTATATAGTATGTTAGATAGTAATTTATGTATTTGAATTTATACACAAAGAAAAAGTATATCAGGGTAAGGGAGATGGGGGGGATTAAGTTTACATTAGGTAGACAGCAGAGGCCTCTGTGGTGATTTTTGAGCAAAGATGAAGAAATAAAAACGAGTGTGCTGGGTGGAAGGAACAGCCAGCATGGACACACACACACTAACTTTAAGTTGTTTTGTAAAATATGTTCCTTACCTTAATTAAAATATGTTTCTTACCTTAATCACTGATACAACACAGATACTATTTCTGACTTTACTGAGGCTCAGAAAGGTGAAGCTGAGTGACTTGCCCAAAGTCAGATAGCCAGTAGGTAAATTCAAGCCCAAATGTTTGCTTCCAAATCCCCTACTCTATATAGGTCTCCTGACCTAAAACATAGGATTTAACTGACTTCTGCTCCCCCTTAGCATAGAGCACAGGAATCTGTACCTCAGCTCCCCTGACAAAGATTCCAGAAAGACTGTTGCATGAATGTCAACAGACATTATATTTCCAGGGTCTATTGGTGTCTCTTCCCCAATTCCTGGGTCCCACTGAGAACCTGTTGCTGGTACATTCTACCTTCAGGCTCCAACCCGTGTATGCTCCTATAGCCCTGGTTAGAATCCACAGAAGGCATGACTAAGCGGTCAGAGAAGGATGTGCACCAATTGTCATTGCATATTGATAAATATTTGGCAACATCATTTTTGATGACTGTAAATTACTTTACCTTTGGAATATGTATCTGTTTGTTTTACCAGTTCCTTAATTTGTTCCAACTTTTCAATATGTTAAAAAATGCTACAACAGATACCGTTGCAGCTAAATCTTAGTGCAAATTTGTAGTTTTTCTCACAGTGAATTCTACAGGGCCCAGGGGACATTCTCCTACAGGGTGGCTTCCTCAATCCAGCTATTGAGGCACCCGCGTATGGGTTTGTTACACCGGTGATTCTGGGATCTTCAAGTCATATCTGGTTTCTCATGGCTCCATCTCTTCCCTTATCTCTGTCCTCCTAGGTCTCTGTCTTCACCCAACGGCTGCAGAAAATGACCAAGTCTCAGGTGAGTTTGTTTGTTCCATTATATAGGAGCAGCAGCAGTGAGGGACTGTACAAATGACCATGTGAGCTACAATCATGCAAAACAATCTTAATGATCAGTGGGATTTTTTTTACATTGGTTATAAGTTGTTCTGTGACCTTTAAAAATTTTGGCCAAAACATTAAATCCTCTTACTGTTAATCATATAAGTATAGGGAAATGAAAAATGGTGAAACGAATATTTAGTACATTGTAATTTGAAACATTGTGAATTTAAATATTTTCTTTGTTGAAAAAAACATATCAAGAACATTTTGAACAGTGCCTTCTTCTCTTTGTATAATTTGATAGCAAGTGAGCATCTTTTCTGTGCCTTGGCAAATTGGATCAGATGCCAATATTTGATCCTTTGGATCTAGGACATTCAGTTCTGGACATGTATGGGGTGCTCAGTAAATGTTTGCTTAATGACTTAATAAATGAATGGCCTAATGAATAATGAAGCCACGAGTGTAAAGTACTCCAAATAGAATTTTTGTGTTACCCATGAAGTGGAACACAAAACTAGATAAATGGGCATCAAAGCACTGTGCTAGAGAAACAGAATGAGACCAAATTAGTATAATATCACCCAAAATGAAATGGGGCTAAATCTCTGGAAGCATTATCAAATAACGAAGATGCTTAAAACCATTTGCCATTCTTTTTGTTTCCACTTTGTGCAATACCGATGACTTTAGTTGAAAGAGGAATGTGTTGTCACAGGGCCTGGTTTCATTCAAGGACGTGGCGGTGAATTTCACCCAGGAGGAGTGGCAGTGTCTGGACCTTCCCCAGAGGGATCTATACAAGGATGTGATGCTGGAGAACTATATCAACCTCATCTCAGTGGGTGAGGACCATTTCCCAGTGTTGATCGACATGTGCCTGGTTAATTACTTTCTTTTCTCAGTTGCTCCAAACTGTTAGTCCTTGGGAGTACTTTTACATATATGGCTCTGAGTCTTAGTAGATTTAGGATTGACAGTCTCTGCGAGGTATGGCTACAAGTGTGTTTAAAGATTTCTCTTTTTCAGGTACAAATGGGCACCTTCATCATTCAGTCCCTGATGAAGTGCAGAGTTCAAAGGACCTGAAGCCCAGGTAGCTAGGTCCAAATCTCATATCGTTTCCCATTGACAGGCTATCTAACCACTAAGCCATCTGTGATCTACAAGTTGGAGCAAGGTGAAGAACCATGGATGGTAGAGAGAGAAATCCGAAACTGGAGCTATGCAGGTGAGTTAGTCAAAGAGCTCTGTGGATGGAAGTGAATGAAATTAAGATCACATTTCATCTGGGGTACCTGGGTGGCTCTGTCAGTTAAGCGTCTGACTTTGGCTCAGGTCATGATCTCATGGTCTCTGAGTTCAAGCCCTGTGTCGGGTTCTGTGTTGACAGCTCAGAGCCTGGAGCCTGCTTCGGATTCTGTGTCTCCCTCTCTTTGCCCTTCCCTTGCTCATTCTCTATCTCTATTTCTCTCTCTCTCTGTCTCTCAAAAACAAATAAACATTAAAAATAAAAAAGATCACAGTTAATCTAATGGTTATCAGAGGGGAGGTGGTAGGAGGATGGGTGAAATAGGCGAAGGGGATTAAGAGTATATTTATCATGGGGTGCCTGGGTGGCTCCATCAGTTAAGCATCTGACTTCAACTCAGGTCATAATCTCACGATTCATGAGTTTAAGCCCCGTGTTGGGCTCTGTGCTGACAGCTCAGAGCCTAGATCCTGCTTCAGATTCTGTGTCTCCCTCTCTCTCTGCCCCTCCCCTGCTTGTGATCTGTCTCTCTCTCAAAAATAAACATTAAAAAAATTTTTTTTAAAGTATATTTATCATGATGAGAACTAATATATGGAATTGTTGAAATATTATACTTTATACCTGAAACTAATATAACACTATATGTTAACTATACTGGAATTTAAAAGAAATTTTAGAAAAACATCACAGGTGATCAATAAGGGTTAACATCTTTGAAAAATATGCTTCAGGACTCTCTTCTGAAAGGCCTTAAACCTTTGGAAATAACGGATGGTTGACATAAGTTCCTTATTCATCTGAACACTATTTCCATATGTCACCTTCCCACATTAATCTCTTCTTCTCATGGCTGTTAAAGAGTGACATTTTCCCTTCCAGGTATATGTTGCCTGTGATTCTTACCAACTTTACTTAAGACTTAGAGAAGATTTTTCTTTTTTTTTTCAATTTTGACAAAGTCTACATAACATAGGATTTGCTATTTTTAAGCATTCAATTCAGTGCCATTAAGCGTATTCCCACTGATGTGCCACCGTCACCACCATCCATCTCCAGAGCTCTTTCTTCATTACCAGTTGAAACTCTGTCCCCCATTAAACAATAACTCCGCATTTTACCACTCCTGCTCACCCCTGGAAATCACTATTCTACTGTCTTTGCTATGAGTCTGACTATTCTGGGTATCCCATGTAAATGGAATCATACAGTATTTGTCCTTTTCTATCTGATTCATTTTACTTAGCATAATACCTTCAGAGTTCATCTGTGTTATGGCATGTGATAGATTTTATTCCTTTTTATGACTGAATAATCTATTGTGTGTATATGCCACATTTTGTTCATCCATTCATTTGCAATGAACATTTGAGTTGTTTCCATCTTTGGGCTACTGTGAATTATGCTTCTATGCACTTGATCTTAGCCAAAAGGCTGAGAAGGGATGAATTATGTGCTGGAGGCCGGCTCCTGCAGGTCCAGGGGTCCCTGGATCTGCTGTGTCAGCGAGGGAGGGGTGGTAGAGCCACGAGACTCTCTCTGGTCACCAGGCAGGCATCTCTGCTCTGACTGGGGCTCAACTTTATTTTATAATTAAGTGTTTGGGGGACGGCACAGAAGCGGCATTTGCCTAAGACAATGATTTCTGATGACAAATTTCTTCGATATGTGAGAATTTCCCAGAACATAGATTTGTAGAAGACTCATGCATAACCTTTATCAATAGTGATTGAGGTAGGTGCTTTAGATGCTTATCCTAGGGGGAGAAAGGTATCTTTAGCATACAAGACAATGTTTTTTAGCATAAAAAGGGTGAAGTTACTTCTTTGTGAGCAAGAGTCAATAGCTTGTTTGCTTAAGGGGAAGTATTAAGAAAAACAGGTCTTTCAGGAAACACAATGTTTGCTCCCATAATCACAAAAGAAGTTCCTCAATAGGTTCCTTCACAGGGTGCAATCAGCATATTCAAGGCCAGAATAAGTCAGAAGATGCCTTGGGGGTCTCCAAGCAGAAACAGTTGGGTGGAGGTGGTAATCAGTCGCCATCTGACCTGGTAAGAGCCCGTGCAATTTACCTTAACCTCATAGGGAGTTCTTTCTCAACCTATAAGCTCAGAAACAACTCCCAACAATTATGCTTCTATGAACATTGGTGTACAAATAACCTGTTTGAGCCCCTGCTTTCAGTTCTTTTAGGTATACATCTAGAAGTGAATTTTCTGGATCATATGGTAATTCTATGTTTATATTTTTAAGGAATTGCTATGATATTTTCCACAGCTACCACACAATTTTATGTTCTTACCAGCAATGCACAAAGTTTCCAGTTTTTCCATATTCCTCACCAATGCCTATTATTTTCTGTTTTGTTTTTATGATGGCAGTCCTAATGGATAGGAAGGAGTATCTTACTGTGGTTTCAACCTGCATTGAATGACTAGTGATGTTGAGCATGAGTGTGTTTTGGCTGGCTGGCTGTCTTCCTTGGGGAGATGTCTAGTTTAGCCTCTGGGGAGCTAGTGTTAGATAAAGAATGGAAACCTACTCACTTTGTTTAAAGACTGATGGCGTATATGTTGGGAACTGGGTTAGGAAGTTCATTAGAATTGTTGAATTCTGAGCCAAGGAATGACTTGACTGCTCTGGATGTAGGTAGCAGAAGTTTAACAGTAGTTAAGTTGCCTGAGGTTTATAAGTTGGATGAAAATGAAGATGGATTTTAGATGCAGAGTGAGAAATATGCTGCTTACAGTCTCCATAGTAATAGAATCCAGAAATTTGGAAAGCATGATATAAAGCTGAAAGTGGCAAGCACACAGTTGTCTCAGGATCAGTAATAGTACATATAATGATAACTAACTGAGAAAACATTATGTGCAAGGTAGTATTCTGAGTACTTCACATCTATTGACTCATTTAATCTTCACAACAGGATGACAAGGTAGGTGCTATTATTTTCCTTTTTTTTTTTTTTTAAATGTTTTATTTATTTCTAGGAGAGAGAGAGACAGCACGAGCAGGGGAGGGTCAGAGAGAGAGGGAGTCACAGACTGAAACAGGCTCCAGGCTCTGAGCTGGCAGTCAGCACAGAGCCCGACGCGTGGCTCGAACCCACGAACCGCGAGATCATGACCTAAGCGAAAGTCGGACGCTCAACCGACTAAGCCACCCAGGCGCCCCTAATTTCCTTTTTTATGGGAAGGGAAATTGAGGCCGAAAGAGATCCAGGAACTTGACTTGTGCCACATGTCTAACTAGTGATGGAGCTAGGATTGAAACCCTGGTAATCTGGATTTAGTGCCTATGTGCTTAAGTGCAGTTCCTCTTCCGTATGTAGTAGGGAGAGAGGAAGGTGGGGAGAGTAGTTAAAAGTCAGGATTGGGGCACCTGGGTGGCTCAGCATCTGACTTCAGCTCAGGTCATGATCTCACAGTTCGCGAGTTTGAACCCCACACTGAGCTCTCTGCTGTCAGCACAGAGCCCGCTTTGGATCCTCTCTTCCCCTCTCTCTCTCTGCCCCTTCCCTGCTCACTGTCTCAAAAATAATTTTTAAAAAGTTTTTTAAAAAGTCAGGATTAATGCAATATCTATGAACTATTACAGAATAAGATGATACACTGAGCAGCAAGAATCCAGTGGTTAATCTGTCCTGAGGCAGGTAGTATTTTGCTTACCCTGTGGCCTATATCTCTTACTGAACATATGAATTCTTGGGCCCTCACACCCATACAAGAATGTACTACTGTCATGTGGCTTTTTGAAGCACTGGCTACAAAGGCATTCCTGCTTGTAAGTGGTTGGTGGTTTTCATGTTTCATCATCAACAGTTTCATGCTGATGGACGAATAGACAAGACCTCAAAGACATTGGAAGAAAAGAGACAAGTGAAGATTACACTAGAGCAATCCAACAATGAGCTGATGATGAGGCACCAGCTCAGATCTCTCTGTTCCTCATCTAGTCTTTCCTTTATTTCCTCTAATCACCATCTCATCCTAGTTGTTTTCATTCCCCAAATGGGCTCTTCCTATTGACCTTGTCACGGCTTTGTTCCTTTTTACTACCCCTTGAGGTTATTTTTGCTTTTCTCCCCAGTTTGCAAAGTCCTACTTCCATATAGCCAGATATATTTGTGTTCTTTATCATATTCTCTATTTCCGTTTCTACCAATATAGTTTTTTTAAGTTGTGGTTTTTCTTGCAAAGCTCAGGGGTATAGATTCCATTTAGCCCTGGTATTTGTTTTAGATAGAGATACTAGGCCTGAAGGTAAAGATTCAGTCTCACACTAGGGTGAAAAGTGAGGAGCCATAATACATGGGCAGATACAGTCACACACATAGAGTTAATTATGCTTCCTTATAGAAGAAATCTGGCAACTGGATGACCACATGGAACAATGCCAGGAGAACCAAGAAACACTTCTGAAGCATGCTGCATTCATTGACCAGGAAACTGGGACTGGTGAGAAGGGTAACAAGTATAATGCACTTGGAAATGTATTTCATCTGAATGCAGACTTCATTTCTTCAAAACAGAGACTCCAAAAATATGACCCCTATGGTAGGGGTTTGAATTATTTTGGCTTATTTAGTGGTAATAGAAGATACTCAAGAAAGATTGAATGTAGTGAATGTGGGAAAGCTTTCTTCCAGAAGTCAGACCTCATTGTACACAAGAGAACTCATACAGGAGAAAAGCCCTTTGTATGTACGGAGTGTGGGAAAGCCTTCAGCAAGAAATCCAATCTTGTTATACATCTGAGGATCCATACTCAAGAGAAACCTTATGATTGTACTGAGTGTAGAAAAGCTTTCGCCCATAAGTCACACCTCATCGAACATCAGAGAATTCACACTGGGGAGAAACCCTATGAATGTGATGAGTGTGGGAAAGCGTTTTTCCAAAAATCACACCTCAATATTCATCAGAGAACTCATACTGGAGAGAAACCCTATGGGTGTGATGAATGTGGGAGAGCCTTCAGCATGAAGTCACACCTCTTTGTGCATCAGAGAATACACACAGGAGAGAAACCTTATGTATGCACCAGGTGTGAGAGAGCTTTCAGTGAGGTGTCCTGCCTTATGAGACATCAGAAAATCCATACTGGGGAGAAACCTTATGAATGTAATGAGTGTAAGAAAGCCTTTTCTGAGAAGTCTGACCTCCTTATACATCACAGAACTCACACAGGAGAAAAGCCCTATGAATGCAACCAGTGTGGAAAAGCCTTCAGACATAGCTCAGCCCTCTGTCGACATAAAAGGACTCATAAAGAAAAAATTCCTTGAAAGAAAAACTAATCTGGGAATATCTTCAACTAAAAGCTTGAGTAGAAATCAATCTTGGGGTGCCGGGGTGGCTCAGTCAGTTAAATGTCTGACTTCGGCCTAGGTCATGATCTCACCATTCCAGAGTTCAAGCCCCACATCAGGTTCTGTGCTGATAGCTCAGAGCCTGGAGCCTGTTTCAGATTCTTTGTGTCCCTCCCTGACTCTGCCCCCCGCCAAAAGAAATAAACATTAAAAAAAAAGAAATCAGGGGCGCCTGGGTGGCTTAGTTGGTTGAGCACTGGACTTCAGCTCAGGTCATGATCTCACAGTTCGTGGATTTGGGCCCCACGTTGGGCTCTAAGCTGACAGTTCAGAGCCTGGAGCCTGCTTCGGATTCTGTGTCTCCCTCTCTCTCTCTGCTCCTCCCCCACTCATGCTCGCTCTCTCAAAAATAAATAAACGTTAAAAATTTTAAAAGAAAATAAATCATATCATATTATGTATCAAGAAGTCAAGCCTATTAATTCAACATATTTTAAAAGTATGTAACAATGTTTTTGTAGAAGTCATATTCTAGATGTGATTCCAAAGTATTTGTAGAAGATATTATAGAAAGTGCATCTCCTTGTTAAAGGATAAATGCTCAATGTGGACTACAAAGACCTTTGAAATATTAGTAAGTGGACTTGTCTGAACAAAATTAGAAAGCCATATGTGGATAATCTACAAAATATGAAATCATCATATTCCAAGTTGTACTACATTATGTTATGTACCACATAACATAAATCTTATCCTGGAAATGTAATATAAAGTAGTGTGAAGTTAACATAATTATGAATACAAAATAAGTATTATACGCACAATGCCATCTACCAAGATCTTTTGTGTTGTTAATACTATTTCCATTTAATAGAAAACATGTCATTCAAGAAGAATTTAAAACTAATATGATATGTCAACTGTACTTCAATTTAAAAATTTTAAAGTGTAAAATAAATGTTTTTTTCCTGTGGTTTGCTGGTGTGCATGTAAAAGACGTCTAATTTTTGATCAATGATAGAATATGAAAGAGTGTTATTATACTTATTTACATATGACATAGATATATGAAAGTGAGCAAAAGAAAGTAGCCATATCTTCTTCCAACATTCACTATGGTTTAAACAGTTGTTTTTGGTGACTAAATCACTGCCTTCTTACATACTGTTATTGTCTGTTGTCTTCCCTAATTAAAGCCTTAATGCCCAGTACCTCAGAATGTGACTATTTTTGGAGATAGGCCCTGTAAAGAGTAATTAAGTTAAAATGAAGCCATTAGGGTGGGCCCTACTCCCATCTGACTGGTGTCCTTATAAGAAAAGGAGATTAGGACACCAGGGATGCAGGTGCTCAGAGGAAAGACTGTGTGAAGAGGAAGCTGGAGGATGGCCTCAGAGGAAACCAACCCTGCTGGCACTTTGATCTTGGACTCCCAGCCTCCAGAAGTGTGAGAAAGTAAATTTCTATTTCTTAAGTTACCCAGTTTACGGATTTTGTTATGGCGGCCATAGCAAACTAATACACACACTACTGCTCCTTTTCACTGGGTTACTTCATAAAGCTGAGTGTACAAATGGTAAGTACTCGAGGGGTGCCTGGGTGGCTCAGTCGGTTACATGTCCAACTTCAGCTCAGGTCATGATCTCCTGGTTCATGGTTTGGAGCCCTCATAGGGCTCTGTGCTGACAGCTCAGAGCCTGGAGCCCACTTCAGATTCTGTGTCTCCGTCTTTCGTTCTCTCTCTCTCTCTGCCTCCTTCCTACTGCCCTCTCAAAAATAATAAATAAAAAAAAAATTTAAGTACTCTATAACCCAACAATGATTGGGGTGTGTTGTACTGTGCACCATTTCTGTATATTTCACCTTGTGATAGAATAGTAAGAAATGCTTTTTTAAAAATTTTTTAATGTATTTATTTATTTATTTATTTATTTATTTTTTTGAGAGAGAGACCACGTGAGCCAGAGAGGGTCAGAGAGAGAGGGAGACACAGAATCCGAAGCAGGCTCCAGGTTCTGAGCTAGCTGTCAGCACAGAGCCCGACGCGGGGCTCAAACCCATGAACTGTGAGATCATGACTGGAGCCAAAGCTGGACACTCAACTGACTGAGCACCCCAAGAAATACTTTAATAAGGATTTTACAATTCATAAATGTAGGGACTTCTTTCAGAGAGAATCATTCCTTTTTACAAATAAAATCCATTTAGTTGGTGGGCAGTAGATAATGCTGTAAATTTCTATGTGAGTATCTGTGGTATTAGAAATCAATTTGCTCCTTATTTATTAATTAAAGATGGAACTTCATTCTTCTGAAGTGAGTTTTAATAGAGGTTTAGGAATACAGAGAGCAAATGTACAAGAGGTGGTGTGAGAGCTCTCGTTCTACAGCTGGCTAGATCTAGATTGTGGATTTGCTTTGAGCCTTATGCTCTCTTCTGTGAATTAGAATAGTGCTGTGATTTCTTGGGTTATTGTGAGGATTATACAATGTAATATGGGTATGGTGCTCATAAGATGTTAGCTATTTTTATATTTCTCAAGTGTATAATTGGAGTTCCCATTGTATTTAGGCAAGGGAAACAATTCACTGTGATCAGGTCTTTGGTGGAAGGAGACAGGACTGTGGGGGGTGCATGCATCATTCTTTTTCATTCTCACAAGGGTGTGGGCCTGGAACCACCACCCTGCACCATTCTGTATTTAGTCACTTTGTTTAGGGGTCGCTTCTAGAAGTGTACTACTAATGTCACAACAGCTAAATTGGCCTAGTTCTCCGGCAGTGAGAAAACTGATGTCAGAGCCTGGAAAGATGGTGACAAACTGGCAAAACATATGATAAAGTTGTCTCTACATAAGCCCACTGTGCTGACAGTTCTAGAAGATAGTAGGAAACAGAATATTAGTAATATTTGCTGATTGGTATTCGTTGCCTTTTGCAAGCTATTATAAGAAAGAGAGAAACTCAGGCAAAATCAATGACTGACAAGCCAAAATGAAAGCAAATAGAGTCCAGACATTTGGGGTTGTACAGAGTTCAAGAAAAACCAACTATTCTAGACTTCAAACAATAACAGAATGTTTTAAAAGACTTTTGAAGTATCAACAACCTGATAAACCTTTTTAGCTAAATAAAGGGACTCAGAAAAAAAGATCCTATTAAGAGGCAGAACTCTCATTCAAGCCTGAGATGCCCAAAGTTGGAGCCTCATCTGCCACCCTGGCTTCATGGTACAGAAGCCCAACTTTAGTCAGCTGCAGCTAAAAAGACAGGCTTCCATGCCCAACCTGCCTTCTGCTTGTACAGCAGAGACCCCGCCCATGGCAAGGAAGGCCAAGTATACTGGGGCTCCCTGATCCCACCCCCCATGCTCTAGTCTGTATGACAGATGTTTTGTGCCAGGGCCACAACGGAAGGATGGCAAACTCTCATTCTCCCAAGCCCCACTTAGAGGGCTGAGGCCCTATCCTGGAAGGAGTGAATCAAAAAGACCTTGGGCCTCCATTCCTCCCCCCAAATCCCACCTGTAGGGTTGAGTTTCCATGCCAAGAGGAGAAGTCTTGGAGTTTCCTCAGCTCCACTTATAGGACACTCGTCACTCCAGGAGTAGCGAGCTGTCCCTTCCACCTCCTCTATTGCTCCAATGCAATGGATGAGACACCTGTCCGGAGCGAGAGGCAAGAAGGGAGGGCCGGAAGTTTCACAGCTCCACAGAAGGAGCTGATTTGGTCCATGGTGTGGAGGAATGCATGACTTAGGCATTGTTGAAAATAGAGATAATAGTTTTAAGCAATTACAGTTCTAACAGTTCTATAAAACAAGTAATAACAAGTGAAACAACAGGCCATCCAGAAGTTTAACAGCAAGAACCATAGAAATAGCTTTTAAAAACGCCTTGTAAGATAATAGTTACAATAATCCCTGTCTGGAAGGCTGGGTGCACATCTAGGTGTCACACACACATCAAGGACCAGCCAGAGCAGGCACGTGAAAGGCAGACTTGAAAGAGTCCTCCAAGTCATACACAGATCCATTAACAAAGAGTAGAAAGTTTACGCCCAAGAGGCGTAATTAAGCACAACCTCTGACTAGCTAAACATTAAGTTTTTTGAGCCAGAGCGACTTCTAGGAAAGCACATAGGAGAACTGAGCACTAACATCAGGGGCTACACACCGTCGGAGAAAATAGACTTCACAAAATTAGCCCAGGGAAGCCATTAAGCAAACCAGCAAAATTAACAAAACAGAGCAACATCAATAAGCCCTGAGAGGGGTGTATCACAATCCAAAGTGGCTACACTGTATTATCTCAAACACTGTGAGAGATACAAAGAAACAGAGTACTATATCCCCATATAGGAAAAGCAGTGTGGCAACAGAAACTACTTTGAGAAGGCCCAAATTTTGAACTTCTATGGCAAAGATTCCAAAGGAGATATTATATTTTTAAAAAGCTAAAGGAAATTATGACAGTAACTCATCAAATAGAGAATATCAATAGATAAAAATTATTTGAAAAAGCCGTGTAGAAATTCTGGTGTTGAAAGGTACAGTCCCCAGAATGAAGATTCGCTGTAAGGGCTCAACAGTAAATTTAAGTTGGCAGAAGAATCAGGAAAATTGAAGATGATCAGTAGTGTACAACCTGAAAACAGAAAGAAAAAAAAAGAATGAAGAAAAGGTAATTGAGCTTTCTTGTTGGACATAGAAAAATCTTGGAAGTTGTCAATCCTATTTTTACAACAAGAAAAACAATCTGAACAAACTGGAAATGAACAACTCTTCTTGGATCTTGCAGAGAATTGAGGTCACAGGACAAACCACTGCCATGAAAACTAGAGAGAAAGGCAGATACTGAGAGGTTATAGGAGGTCGATGGCTAAAGGGTATAGAATGTCTTCCTAAGGTGATCGTTACACATGTCTGTGAATATACTCTAACCAACTGAATTGTACACTTTGAATGGGTGAATTGTAAGATATACAAACTATATCTCCATAAACCTGTTTTTAAAAATTGAATTGTTGGGGGGGTGCC